TTTTCCCTTTTTGTCAGCTTTCCAGGCTCAAAATTCTGGCCTGGAGTAGTTGCCCAGGTGAAAGAAAATCTGGGCTCAAGTCTCTTAATCTGATTAATGTGTAATGAAACCATCACTACAATTTAAGTCTTCCTAGCTAACAGAAGGTGTTGTAAGTGGGTGTTCCTTCTCTCACTCATGCTTCATTACAGAGGAGTTTGTGGAAGAAGCCTGGGCAGGGAGACTGGCTTCACAAGATGTTCTAGTCCTGTTGTTCAGGCAGGATACTGAACCTGCCCTTACTTAGAATAAGCTTAAGGTGATTTAGTTAAAGCGATTTAGTTTAGGTGATTTAGTATTGCTCCCTTGAAATACTGTCAAGAAAGATACAGTTTCACCAGGATTTTTTCCACTTAAAATGATAGTGTATTACTACTTTGTCCAGTTAACACATTTAAATGTATTGCCTCCGAAAACCTTGGAACGTATCTGATAAATGCGTCAGGTTTATTTTTCTTCCAAACCCTGCTTTAAAAGATAAACCCATCTATGAGCAACGAGGTTAACAAGCCTGACTTCCTTCAGCTTCGGATTTTTTCCCTCTTCCCATTAAAAAGACCCTCTTGGAAATAAACAGCATTGAGTTATGTTACAGCTGGGCAAGTACCAATGTGCTGCCAAGCCACAGGCTTAGTGGTTGAATTCTGCTCACCTTTTGCTTCAGGGATGTACTGCTCTGTCTATTCCCACCACCCTCTGCTTGTTTTCATAAACTTGCAGAAACATAATTACCTGAGATCTGTGTCTCACTTTGAAGAGCTGCTCTAAATGCAGGTTTAGAAGGTGGTGCCACATAGCTGCTAGTCAGATTATAATCTGCATGATGCTTGAACTGAGAGACAATTCTCCCTGGTTTATGAAATCCTCAGTTTACTGAGGTTCATTTTAAAACCATCTCAATGAGAAGCTAGTTTTAAGCTAGAAGAATCAAGAAAACTTTTTAAGAACTGCATTTCTTCTACTCTCCCTCTTTAATCCACATGTATGGATATATTTGTACACACACACAAAATGTTTTTTGACCATTAAGAGATCTGGGTTTCAAATAACTGTATGAAAAAAGTCTATCCTATCTATAGGCCAAAAGACAGCAAACACTGGAAATTTCATAAAGGTTGTACTATTACAGAATTGGAATGAGTGCACATTGTCTCATTTTATTTTATGTGAACTGGCTGCACATGATCTGTTTCAGACCAGAAAATGTCCTAAAAATCTGATACTATGCATTTTATCAAGACAAAAAAATTAGCTGTTTCTTCCAGTGAAATTCTTGAGGCTGTCTACAACACTAAGAAATACACTGCAATGAATCTGCAATAATAAAAAGTATTGCTGTTACCATTTTGCAGGTGGAAGTGATTGCATATTTGTCACTCCTCCATCTACTGGTACTGCAACCTGGACATTAGACAGCATACTTGGAACATTCATAGACTCTGGATTGTACTTATAATCCACTCTCACTTCAGTAGTGCTAGCATTACATTTCCAGTAAGTTGCAAGATTCAAGGGAGTGGACTGGATGCCATTTGAAGATACCTGTAAAAGAATAAACCATTGAAAGTAGCTTATTTGCAGTATCCCCCTTTTGGACAGTATGGGGGAACGATGGTAATGAATATAACTTCACGTCCTGATGAAAGATCAAGAGAGCAATGCACCTCTGAGCCGTCAATCAATTCCGAAGACTGTTGCAGCCTCAAGTAATTCCTGTTCTTTTAATTTTAAATTAAAATTATTACAGAAAAGGTTTAAACTCTCTCTGGCCGACAAGGCTCCTTCATGTTCTGGCTTTATAAGTCAAAACAGTTTTTGTTTAGTTTTGTGTTCTGCCTGACACAAAAAGCATGCTTGCAGCAAAACGAGTTCATGCTTAGGAGTGGCACGCCATACCAACCCAGCTGCCAAAGCAGCCACCGCAGAGGCAGTACCTGTTGTTATGGGACAGGCAGAGTGCAAAACAGTTCTTACCTATTCAAAGCGTTATTTCCTGCTGCAGGAGGGCTGGATGCTGCTTCCATAGCTGAGCTTATGCTACTGCCCTGCTGCATCTCTACCAGCTTCCCAGTCTTCTTGAGGAAACTTCTGTGGTATGTCCTGGTGCCCCCTCTCACCTTTCCTTGGTGGCCCAGAGCCTTTTCTATCTGTCAGGACTTCTGCTTACTGATGCCTCATTTTCCCCCAACAGTACAGACCTTAAACAGGTATCATTATTCCACAGTACTCATCTCTGCAATCATAGAATAGAATCAATCATAGAATGGTTTGGGCTGGAAGGGACCTTAGGGATTATTTTGTTGCAATCCCCCTGTCATGGGAAGGGAGACCTTCTACCAGATTGTTGCTCAAAGCCCCACCCAGCCTCCAACTGGAGTTCATGCCACTGACCATCACCAACTGGGCCTGGCAGTCCACCTCAGTGTCTGCTCATCCAGCCTGTCCTTAACCTGCTTCTCTATGAGGATGCTATGGGAGACAGTGTTGGAAGCCTTCCTGAAGTTTAAGTAGACAATATCCACTGCTCTCCCCTCCTCCACAAGGGCAGTCATTCCATCACAGATGCCTGTCAAACTGGTCAAGCATGACTTTCCCTGGGTAAATCCATGCTGACTACTCCTGATGACTCTCCTGCCCTTTGTGTGCCTGTAAATGGTTTCCAGGATGAGATGTTCGGTTACATTGTGAGAGCTCAGAAAATCATACCTTCATATATTACAATTCACCTGCTACAGCGTCCAAAACTTATGTAATTACAAAATCAAAGACAGTACAACTACAAAATCAAACAAACCCCTAAATTCAAGGAAAATTTTAATTCACTAACAAATATCTAAAGAAGTGGTTTTTGAATCTTGCACACATGAATGCATTAGCAGGCAGAAACCCGTGATAAATCCAAGGGAATGGCATGAAGT